CAGGTGGTGTAACTTCCTGTCTCCATGGTGTTAAATTTACTAAGAGAGCTTGTCCTTTACTGAAAGGAGACAGCCCCGCATGCAACTGCCCAGGCAGAGGCGGGAATAAAAAGTAGGCCTAAGGATCAACTCAGCACCAGAAGCAACAACTGGTTCTTTCTTCCTGTAAAAATGACAAGATGCTGCAGAATACCTTCAATGGCAGCCCAGGGTTCTACAGGGAAACCCTAGCCCTGGGAGATCTTGCAAGGTAGGACTGGCCCAGCAAAACTGGGAGTGAGCGGTGCTCATTCTCAGCACTCTCTGATTTTCATTTTCAGCTCTTCTCCCTCTGGCCTTTATTCACTGAGCTTCACGACTGGCCACCAAGTTCCCTTGCTCTGCATCTATGAGTTTATTTTGGTTTTGTTGGTTCATTTGTTACTTTTCTGTTTTGTGTTCCATGAATGAAATAATGGTTTTTGTCCTTTTCCATCTGACTTACTCCACTTAGTGTAATACTCTCAAGATCCATTTATGTTGTTGCAAACAGCAATATTTCATCTTTTTATGGCTGAGTAGTACTCTTCATCTTCTTTATTCATTCATCCATTGATGAGCACTTGGATTGTCTCCATATTTTGGCTATTGTAAATAATGCTTCAAAGAATATTGGGATACGTATAGCTTTTCAAATTAGTGTTACCGTATTCTTTGGATAAATACCCAGAGGAGGAATTACTGGATTACATAGTAGCTCTAAATGTTCTGAGGAAGCTCCATACTGTTTTTCATAGTGGCTGTGCCAATATACAATCCCATCAACAGTGTATGTGGGTTCTCTTTTCTCCACGTCCTCTCTAACACTTGTTATTTTTTACTTTTTTTACAATAGCCATTTTGACAGGTGTTGGTGATAACTCATTGTAATTTTGATTTGCATTTCTCTAATAATAAAAGATGTTGAACATCTTTTCATGTGCCTGTTGTCCATCGGTAAGTCTTCCTTAAAAAATGTCTATTCAGGTCCTCTGACAATTTTTTAATAAGGTTGGTTGTTTTTTTTTTGTTGTTGTTGTTAAATTGTATGAATTCTTTATATATTTTGGTTATTAACCCCCTTATCGGAAATATCATATGCAAATATCTTCTCCCATTCAGTTGGTTGCCTTTCTGTTTTGTTGATGGTTTACATTGCTGTGCAAAACTTTTAGTTTGATGTAGTCCCATTTGGTTTTTTTTGTTTGTTTGTTTTAAATTTGCCTTTAGAGTCAAATTTGCAAAAAAACAAAACAAAAACCCCAAAAACCACTAATATCAATGTGAAAGGACCCATTTTAACCTGAGGTATAGGTTCCAAGAGGAATGTTTGTAGAAATAATGGCCAAAAACTTCCCAAATTTGATACAAAACAAAACCCAAAAGGGCTCTGGTATAATAAGCTTGTACACATCCACACCTAGACACATCATAATCAAACTATCTAAAGGCAAATAATATTGAAAGAAACAAGAGAGAAGTAATTCATCACGTACAAGGAGCCCTCAAAAAGCTTATTTCTCATCAGAAACTATTGGCACCAGAAGGCAGTGAGATGACACAGTGAAAGTGCCGAGAGAAAAAGACTTTCAACCGAAAGTTCTAGAGCCAACAAAAATATCCTTCAAAAATGAGTGAGAAATTATGACATTCCAAAATAAATTAAAAACTGAGAGAATTTGTTCCTAGCAGACTTGCTCTGTAAGAAATTGTATGGTGAGTACTTTGTGCTGAAGTGACAATAGACAGTCACTCAAATGCACAGGAAGAAATAAAGAACACCAGTCATGGTGTCTACATAAGTAAATGTGTACGAGTATAAAATACACTTTTGTTTGTAACTATTTTTCTTCTGATTTAGAAGACAAATGTATAATGTGATAATTGTACATTTTTATTGATGGATAGAAAATGCATACAAATTTAATTTGTACAAAAATAGTAACACAAAAGGTGACACCATGTAGGAGCAGAGTTTTTGTATACTATTTATATTTATATATAGTTTATATTTATATATATTCTCCGGAGAAACTGACCAGTAGGATATTCATTCATTCATTCATTCATTCATTGTGAGCTGGTTTATGTGATTCTGGAGTCTGACAAATTCCAGGGTCTGCAGGGTTGACCAGCAAGCTGAAGACCCAGGAGAACCAATGGTATAGTTTATGTCCAAGCGCCAACAGGCTCAAGACCAAGGAAAAGCCAATGTTTCAGCCCAAGTCTGAAGATAAGAAAAAGTCAATGTCCCAGTTTAAAGACAGTCATGTAAGAAGAATCCTCTGTTACCCAAGAGAGGGTCACTTCCTTGGTTTAATTTTAGGCCTTCAACTGATTAAGTGAGGCCCAGCTACAGCTGGGAGGGCAATCTGCCTTATTCAGTCCACCAATTTAAGTATTAATTTCATCTTAAAAACACCCTTAAAGAGATACTCACCCAGAATTGTTTGACCAAATATCTGGGAACCACATGACCCAGTTAAGTTGATTAATAAAATTAACCATCACACTATTGAAATTGAATTGAAAGTTGGTATTAATCTGAAGTATTTGTTATATTTAAGATGGTAATAATAATCTGTATAGCAACAATAAAACAATAACTCAAAATATGTAAAGAAACTACATGGTCATCTCAATGATGCTGAAAGCATTTGACAAAATTAAATATCCTTTCATTAGTAAAACATTCAACACACTAGAAATAGAAAGGAACTTTTTCAACTTATTAAGGGCCTTGATGAAAACCCACTGGTACCATTGTACTTAGTGGTGAAAGACTGAAAGCTTTTCCCAAAAGATCAGGAACAAGACAAGGATGTGCACTTGTGTCATTTCTATTCAACATTATGCTGGAGTTTCAAGTGCGGACAATCAGACAACTAAAACAAGTGAAAGGCATTCAGATTGGAAAAGGGAAGAAAACCTATTCCTACTTGTAGATAACATGATCTCATATAAATGAATATCCTAATAAACACACACACACACACAACCTTTTAGAGCTAAGAAAAAATTTCAGCAAGGTCTCAAGATATAAGATCCATATACAAAAATCAATTGTTTTCCTTTACATTAGCAATGGACATTCTGAAAATGAAATTAAGATAACCATTTAATTTACAACAGTATAGAAAAAAATAAAATATTTAGAGATAAATTTAGCAGAAGTCTAAGACTTCTAAAAACTATAAAGTGTTGCTGAAAGAAATTAAAGAAGACCTAAATAAATGAAATGATAGTCCATGTTCATGTACTGGAAGACTTAATATAGTTAAGATGTCAATACTCCTAAAATGATCAATGCAACCCTTATCAAAATCCCAGCTGGCTTTTTGTAGAAACTGATAAGCTGATCCTAAAATTCATATATTAATTCAGGGGACTCAGAATAGCCAAAATAACATTGGGAGGGAAAAATAAAACAAAGTTAGAGGTTTTACACTTTCAGATTTCAAAACTTACTATAAAGCTGCAATAATCAAAACCAGGTGGTACTTGCAAAGTATAGACATAAATCAATGGGACACAATTTGACAGTCAAATATTAAACATACACTGTGATCAGTCGATTTTTGACAAGGGTGCCAAGATAATTCACGGGAAAAGGATTATCTTCAACAAATGGTGCTGAGACAAATGGATGGCCACATGAAAAAGAATGAAATTAGGCCATACCTTGCATCATATACAAAATTAACAGAAAGTGGATCAAAGATCTAATTTAAGAGCTGCAACTGTAAAACTCTTAAAAGAAAATATAGGTGTAAATCTTTGGGATCTTAAATTTAGCAATGACTTCTTGGCTATGAAACTAAAATCATAGGCAACAAAGAGAAAAAGTAGATAAATTAGATTTCATCAAAATTAATAATTTTCATGCTTCAAAGGATACTTCAGGGACTTGAAAAGATAGCCCAATGAATGGGAAAGAATTTTTGCAAATATATATATGATAAGGCACTTATATCAAGAGTATATAAAGAACTCTTGCAGCTCAATAATAAAAAGACAAATAGCTCAATTAAAATGGATAAAGAATCTTTTAAAATATGATTTAAAATTTTAAATTATAGTTGACATATTAATTTCAGGTGTACAACATAGAGATTAAACATTAATATAACTTACAAAATGATCACCCCAATAAGTCCGCTACCCCACTGAAACCATACAGTTATTACAATATTATTGACTATATTCCCTATGCTATACTTTACATCCATGTGATTATTTTGATAACTGCCAATACGTACTTCTTAATCCCTTCACATTTTTACCCATCGAAATGGGCAAAGGAGCTTAATAGACATTTCTCCAAAGAAGACAAACAAATAGCCAATAAGCGCATTAAAAGGTGCTAAACATCATTAACAATCAAGGAAATGCAAAGAAAAACCACAACATAATACTTCACACTCACTACCGTGACTATAACAAAAAAGACAGATAACAGCAAGTGTTGGTGAGAATGTGGAGCAACTGGAAACCTCATATGACCCAACAATTTCACTCCCAACTTTTACCCATGAGAAATGTAAGCTGTTGTCCTTAAAAAAACCTGGACATGAATGTTCATAGAAGCATGATTCTTAACAGCCAAAAGAAAGGGAAAACAACACAAATGCATCATGACACCTGATGGACGTATAAACAAAATCTGGCATATTTATAAATAGAATATTCAGCCATTACAGGGAATGGAGTTCTCTGATTCATGCTACAACATAGATGAACCTTGAAAACATTATGGTAAGTGAGAAGCCAGACACAAAAAGCTGCATATTGTGTGATTCCGTTTAAATGAAATTTCTAGAAGAGGCAAATCCATAGAGACAGAAAGTAGGTTAGTGATTGCCAGTGGTGGGGAATAGCTGCTAATGGGCATGGAGTTTCTTTCTGGATTGATGTAAATATTCTGGAATTAGATAATGGCAATGGTTGTACAACTTATGAACAAACTAAAATTAACTGAATTAGTGCTCGCTTCGGCAGCACATACACTAAAATTGGAACGATACTGAGAAGATTAGCATGGCCCGAGCAAGGAATTTTATTACACAGTGTCTTAATAAACAGTTTATTCTGTTTACTTCAAAAAAAGATAAAATAAAATTAACTGAATTGTACAATTTAAAAGGATGAATTTTATGACATAAGTTAATTTTTTAAAAACAGCCTCTTGTTGGTAGGAGTGACGCTTCTATCTGATCAAGCAGGGAGCTGCTGACTTCACAGACTCCAGAGAGGCCGCAGGACAGAGAGTGTGGTACAGGGATGGGTCTCAGCCAGAGGCAGAGAGCTATTCGAAGGTACAGACAACAGGCCCTCTTTTCAGTTTTTGATTTTGTGGGTCTGGTGGGAACATGAGTCCATGCCCGTCCCCACCCTGTACCTAACGTGTGGATTTCCTATATTCCTGGCTTAGGTGTTGAAGACTGCTCAGTTATTACAGGACAGCATTAGGAATCAGAATCAGGAAGTCCTGCTGCCTCTCATTGTAAGCCATTTTGGTTCTATACCGAGATTTCTGTTCTATACTCTAAGAGCAATTGCTAATACTTCTTTTCCAAATTCATGCCCACACAGGCATGTTAGAGGTACTCAGTAAGTGAAATTTCTTTTCCCTTGTTTATGTCAACTTATGTCTGAGCTCCTAAATCCTTAGGCATAAAAAGCTTTCCCTGGTGGGCTTTGGAATAGCAGCTTCTGTAATAACACTTGGAGTATCTTATGCATAAGGATTACTTTTATTTAAAAGTAAATATGAAGTTTAGTGAAAATTAGAAACCTCCATCACTGAATGGCATTATGTCTGTAAGTCTGTTTCTCACAGCCTCAGTCTTGGCAAGTGTTAGAACACTAGCGCTCTAGGGTTGTCCCAAACACAGCGGTCCCAGAAAAAGAAGAATGACTCATGCCAAGAACCCTGCAGAGCGCCTCAATCTGTTTGCGTGATTTATGACCCCCACGATTCAGCCCAGACCTGCAGGGGCCATGTCTGACATTTTGGCAGAGAGAAGGGCATCTACCACCTTGAATCTATCTTGGGCTTACAAACCATCTTTCTTCCCTGTGAAGTTATCATCTGCCTAAATATAGGTGAAAAGTTTTGCTTCTGTGGCCAGAAACCAGGGCCAGGTTTAATAAGCCCTGAAGTGGCTCCCAGTTCCCAAGGACAATCCACATCAAGGAATCCCATGGCAAACTCTCCCAGGACTATGGGATTGATGGAAAAAATACAAGTCGTCCCAAGTATAATGTTTTCTCAGATTTATGAATGGCTACTAATGATGTCTAATAAAACAACCACGAATGCAGCTGAGTTTGAGTGAGGTGACAAGAAAACCAAAATTCATTATCAAGGTGACATACAAAAAGTCAGTTCCCATCTGTCTTCACTCCTCTTCCTCTAAAACAATATGCAGAGCAGCTGTGTATGGCCCTGTGAAAGGTAGGGGAGAGGGCTGAATGAGTTCTCAAGATTCTTTAACTATCCATAGTGTAAAATCTAATGTTTGGAAATTTTTGTGCAATTCTCATTTTTATAGCTACTAACACATACATTGTATAAAACTGAAAAGATTTGAAAGTATCTACAGAAAAATGTCTCCCTCCCATCCATTTCCCTTAATCCTCCATTGTCTTATCCGAGGGCCAATGTGCCAGGTACTATTCTCGGTCCTGAGCACAGAGCAGCAAACACAACAGAGTCCCTGTCCTTGGTGAGCCTGCATTCTAATATGGAGAGACACAAAAGAGCTTTAGGTACTGATAAATTCTATGAGAAAAATAAAATAGCCTGAGAGGGACCAACCTTTGAGGTTCTCAGAGAGACCACGCTCTGTTAAATGCTGCCAAAAGGTTAAGTAGGGATTAAGATGTAATGATGTGTCTACCAGGTTTCTCAACACGAAGATGGTTGGTACCTTTGATAATAGAGAAAGAGCTTGATTATAACGAGCAGAAGAATGAATAGGAAGTGAGGCAGCGGAGGCCACGTTAGACCGCTCTCTCTAGATCTGTGCTGTGAGTGGGCAGAGGATGGGGGCAGCTGCTCAGAGGCTGCCATGCGGGTTAAATGAAGTAGGGCCTATGAGGTGCTGAGCTTGGTGCCTGGCATGGAGTGGGCACATAGCTATTCTTAGTATTATATTTCCTACCCCTAGTCCTTTCTATGTCCATTCAAAGTTCTTTTTCTCCCCTAAAAATGCTTTCCATCTATGACTGTCTTATTTGAGTCCTGGGAATGTACAATGACCCAAAGAGTCATCCAGAGTTACAAATGACCGTATCTCTGGGCATTGTAGACAACATTGACTTTTCCAGAAACTGTAAACGGAGGGATTTTGTGTCTTAAGTAGCCTGTCGGAGTGCATTTGGTGCTGATAGGATGGAGTCAGCTTGAAATAGCGCTTTCAGAGGGTGCAGTGTAATCCCACATTGCAGGCGGTAAACGACCTTTCTCCTTTTTTCTCTGCTGCTCTGTCCCACTGCCAGGTTAATCACAAGACAGATGCCAGAGCATCCAGGGGATTTTTTTTGTCTCTAGACAGGTTTTTTGGCATTTCCATATTTTCCTGTGACAAATCGGGAGGGGTGGTGTTGGCAGTTTATGTTTTATTTGATTTTGGTCTTTTGTTTGCTAAATGTCTGCCAAATAGACACATTTCCCCAGTTGTCGCTATCTATGATCACTTAAATGGCCAACGACTATCCACAGGGATAAAAGGACAAAGCACCTCGGAGAAGGGAAAGAGGGCTAACAGTGCTCCTCCTTACGTTGCTGTAATGCTGTCCTTCAAGGCGCCAGCTCACTTCCCAAACAGCAGATCCAGATTTGCTTCTAAACCTGGACCTCAGGGCACCACGTAAGCTCTGTTGAAGAATCAGTTCCCGTATTTTGCTGTGCATAATGCTCACTTTTTTGCCCAAATTTTTGAGGGAAAAATAAGGATGTGTATTATACGTGGATAGTACTAATTCTGTATCTATATAAATGTTTTAAATTCTTTTATTTACACTTATGCATTAAAAGTGCAATTCTAGAAAGCAATAAAGATACCCATATGCAAAATAATATCCTGGAATATGATAATCGGTTTTGTTTCGCAATATAAATAAATAAATAACTGAATAAAAAAATTAAAAGTACAAGTTTTTTTTTTCCTGAAAGTTTGGGCCAAAAATGTGTTTGTGACTTATACACTGGAGTTCATTATACGTGACAAAATACGGTAGTTAATCCCAGATTCTCAGTAAATGCATCTATTTGTACCCAGCTGGGGAACCATTGTTCTGGGAAGAGAAGAACATTCCTTCTTATCTTCCTGGCTGACAGAGTCAGAATAGACCCCTCCGTTTCTCCTCTTACCAGCTGAACTGGCAGCACCCTAAAGCTTCCTCTCTGGGAGCTGTTGCTTCATAGAGCCCTCCCTGGCTGTCTCTCCAATGCAGCCTCCTCCCAAAGCACTGTGGTGGACGTTCATTACATCGCCCCGGGTGGTTGTGGCTTCAACCAACCACTGCCTTGCATTGACATATAGTTGTGTGTGTGTCTTACTTCTCCAGCTATAACTGTGAGCCCCTTCAACTTCTTTGAATTCCCTTCAGCTGAGTATAGACTATAGACATTCTATAAATATCTTTGAATTGGTTTTAATGTACTGCTTTACCCTCAAGGATCTTAGAATTTCACTGAGGAGGCAAGGGATACCCAGACGAAATAGTTCAGTAACAGGGCGAGGCAACAGCCCAGTGCCAGAGTGGAAGTGTAGGCCCAGGAGGTTCTGTGCTGAGGATGCTGGGAGAGAAAAAGTCATGAGGCTGGGCCGGTGAGAAGGCTCTTGCTTGCCTGTAACAGCTGCCGCTTTGCCCCAAGAGAAGAAGCCAGTCACTGCTTTCAGAGGTGGCCTGGTTTGACAAATGAGTCTTGCCGGCATAATAGCATTACCGCAGCTGTCACCTTGTCCTTTGCACGCGGGTCACTATGCTTCCCAAAAGGAGTTTGTTCTACAGAGGGTTTCAGCTCCTGTCCCCTAGAAATCTCACAGCAAAGTTCACTTCTGTCCTCTTTTCCCAGCAGCCAAAGCTCTTTCATCACTATTCCTTTTTTTAAACCTCTCTTTCTATGGAAAGATTTATCTTATGGTTCAGCTCTCTAAAAGAAAGGGCCAATAGCAGGAGAATAGGGGCAGAGTGGGTGCGCGTGCTTTGCTGCGCTGCTTTCTGGGTGCTGCGTTTGTGCTTTTAATCCTGCTTCTGTCAAGCTCCATTAGGAGATGTGAGCATCAGCCTGCTACCTTGGGGGCCTGGCCTCCCATCAGCCCTGGCAGAAATGAGGACGGCGTTTGAGATGGGTCATCAGGAAGAAAGACAGGTTGGGTATTGCAAAGAGCACCCCCCATTCTAACAGCCCAGTCACCTTTCCTAGTACACGGGGGCATTTACCTTCCCACCCGCAAGCACCAACTGCCTTGGGAAGCCATCAGGCGGCCAGACGCTGGCATCCATGAGATGATTTGAAAACAGTTATAGAGAATCAAGGCTAAGCCTCTGTAACTTTTGTACACCTTTGAAAAGGAATGAATTCCCCTTTCTGGGAATGTGGAACAGTGCTGGGGCAGAGCCCCCACCCCACCAAAACAGGCAAAGTCATTCCAGACAGTCCTGGTGATCACGGTGACAGACATCGCAGCCAGACGGCCTTCACATCTGGTCTCTGATGTGGCTTTGGTGGGTCAGAGCAGCACTTGGACTCAGGCCTCAGAGGCCTGGCAGTGAGTTCTGGGAATAAAGGCCCCTTGGACATTCCCTTTCTCAGCATTTGATATAAAGTAGAAACCAGGGCCATAAAAAGAAACTATCTTGTTGAGATTTTTTAAAAATTTCCAATTGTGGATAAGGGATTGTAGAAGACCTGTAGGAAAAAACCCACTGACCTAAGCTTCATAATCTGGTCCCTCTCTAGAGAAATCTGCAGTCTTAATCACTGACTAAACAGTATTTGACATCTTTAAAAAGGAAAACTTCAACCCTCGCTCTTATTTAATACATGGCTTGAATGGCGGATGGCAGAGCT